AGCACTTAATTGCTATTATATTTTGAATTTTACCAGTACATTTTTGTAGAAATGAGCTAGACTATCTCGTAATGCAAATACCTTCTAAATACCCTTGGTCTTCCTCTTGGCCTGCAAAGCCTAAATTACCAGTATTCACTATCTGGCTCTTTACAGAAATGTTTGCACCCCTTGGATTAGGTGATCTTTAAGTGCCTTTAAAAAAGAACCCGATTCTTATTTTCTCTTAGGACACCAATAAAAACCCGTTATGAAATGTGAATGACTGGGGCAGTGCAGCTTTCCCAGGGCTTGGCTCTGTTTTGCTCCATGTGAATGAAGGACAACGAGATGGGCCCAAAGCAGAGCCTCCTTTCCTTGAAACCATTGTTCATTTCCACCCTGTACATTCCCAAAGCAAGAGAAGAGGTCTGTCAGCATAGTCATTCAAGCTACTGCCCGGGCTAGTAAACCAGCCCTCCCTTGGGCAAATCCTTAAGCTCTCTGCCTCAGTTTCCCCACCTGTCCCATGGGGAGGCATTCGTGTTCGAGGCTTCTTCGAAGGTGGCTGAGGATTGGACACTTTCACAAAGATGAATAATGGCCAATGACTTTGATATTTCTCAAATAGATTCCTAAGCATACTGAAAATACTAAACAACCAGTACACCACAGACAGAGCTCCCCTAGTGCCCATCCTGTCCTCCCGGAGCCAAAAGTCCTGAGGACAAGTTTGCACAGAAGGCTCAAATTTCCCTGGGGGAGCCACTGTTGGAATTTCAGCTTTGACCTTCTGGGGAATCCGTATTAAAATGCAAATTTGTTACCTAGGAAGGTAATTTTTAACCATTTAATACCTGTTTCTTAGTACTTTAGCTCAAATTAGGTTTTGTTTTTCTCAAATTAGCTAGCTAGCTGGGTGAGAGCAGTCTTGACTAGACGGGAGTCAGAGTCTCTGAGGTGGGCTCAGGGTAAGTTTTGAACAGAGGCCCTCAGGTTGGGAAGCACACCCCCCCCCCCCACTGTTAGCTCCAGCATTTACCCAGAGCGCCTCGGCACACAGGTGCCCACAGGAGACTTAGAAGTCCAGACTCTAGGGTAGCATTGCCCAATAGAAATAGAATGCACCCCATGTTGATAATGTTAAGTTTTTTAGTAGCCACATTAAAAAATATGAGATGAAAAAGGTGAAATTAAATTTCATGATATTTTACTTAACTCACTATTGTGTCCAAAATACAAACTAAATTGGTCTAAGAATAAACTATAAAGACAGGTTACTATCCATCTTTCTGTATTTTTCAAGAAAAGAAGAACCACTGTAACATCTGTGTAGGCTGTTTTCAGAGTAGATTTAATTAGTTCCTTAAACAGGGCCTTATCCCTCATGTAAGTCATCTATGCAACAAGAAATTCTGAAGATAGTACATGACCTTACCAATGTTTTTGTTCTTAACCAAAAGTAATTATGTTTAAGTATCCCACCAAGAAACTTCTACAGAAGACTACCCTACAGTACAAGGGTGGACAAAATTATGTTTACAGTTGTATGGAAAATAATAGTTAATAAATGATAATACAGTAGTAAACTCTGTGGCACATACTCACGATTGTAACCCTTTTGCCACACCCTGTACAACTGCCTTAGGGATACATAGGGTGAGCCGATGAAGGAAAAGAGGGTTTTTTTCCCCTCCTTATCCTCATTGATTTTTTCTATTATTTAAAATCAGCCAAAAGAACTGAGGCAAAGCTAGAGGAAATGAATTCAGAGTTTGCCTTGAACATGTGAACAAATCTTCCCACAATGGCATATTTGAAAGGCCAAGTGAGACACTCCTTTATAATGTCCCTCATCTAGAGAGCCCTCAGCAGCAAGAGGGCAGAAGGAAGGTATGTCTTGGGTGTGTAGTTTGGCACTCTACAAGCCAGCTTACCAAGTCATTATCATTCAGAAATACAGTGTGACTGTTCTCAACCACAGGGGAAGGATGGAAAATCATAACACATGTCGAAGCTTGCTATTCCAAAGACACCTTTCCCTGGGATTGTCTTTAAAATGAAAGATGCAGTAAAAATTTTAAGATGCAAAGCAGGGGTGAATAAATACGGGACATACTTACACATTCACACACCAAATGCTGGAAGGCTGTGAACCACGCAGGCAGAGCAAAGAAATGTACCGAACCATCCATTTAGTAGGTCATTTTGAACTGTAGGCAGCAAAATGGCTGTGTGCATGAAAAACTACTGCTATATTTTCAGAGATCCTTTCTAAGAATCCTGAAATATTAATAACATGGTCTTAATGTAGTTGAAGACAAAAAAATGTGTTAAGGGTAGCAAGATTTGCCCAGAATAGCACAATGACAAGTTTGTACTTCCAGCTTGTGCTTATAAAAGCAAGAGGGAAAGAGAATACAAATACTTGGTGTGTTTAAAGAGCAGCAGCCTTCAGTTTCATAAATAGGTATAAAACCGTATTCTCTAAATGGATTAATGTGTACATGTTCTCGATGACAGACTAATAGGAGCTTCAAGGATATGTAAAAAATATATATATATTTATAAAGTTCCAAATTCATTTTTTCTTAAGTGTACAGATATATATGTGTGTATATATATATATATGTGTGTGTGTATATATGTGTATATATATATATATATATATATATATATATACACACATACAACTAATTTTAGCTTTAAAAAAATTCAAGGCATCTTCCAATTTGATTTTTGTGAACTCTGAATTTAATTCTTTAAGTGGAGACAGACCTACTGGAATGGAAGTTGAAGAATTAGCAATGCCCCCCACCTTCCCCTTTTTTTTCTCACGAGCTTTTGAATGAACTGTGTTGTCACTCTTTTGCTGCCATTGTGAGTTTTGATGCTTGAAATGGAGGTGTGCAGAGATCAGTCAGGAACAGGGAGAGTTTCCCTTCCACATCTAGATGTGAAAAAATAAAAGCCATGTATGCTTTTTTGGCCATCGTAGCACTGAGTGACAGGTTGCTTTTGTGGGCTGTGACTGAGTGAGTGATAGAGAGGACCCCGTGGGCTTACACCAAGTTCACGGACTTGTGGCGTGTGATGTGGGATGCACAAGCCTGATCCTCAGTGCTTCTTCCTGCCAAAGCGGGGGTTTCTGATTTTAATCCAAGCCCTAAGGCTACCATAAGCATGACCAAAAAGTACCTTGCGTGTTGAACCCCATCTAATTATGTGAAGCGTATAAACTTGGGACACATAAATCTCAGTCATCGGAGCAATTTGTTTTTCTAGGATGCTCTGGTCCAATGAGAGATGAAAGCAAATCAGGGAGAGATTGATCTCTGAGTGCTTTTATTGTCGGTGTGCCACACGTCATAAACTTCGGGCTCGTTAAAGGAAATTCCATAAACAACTTTAGTTAATAGTGTAGAAGGAACTGTGTGCTTTTCTGGGGCTTCTGCTAACCTCCCTTTCCGTCTGAGATTACAAGAGCGTGATTAAGGAAACCAACAGGATGTGCAAGGGGGAGGAACAGACTTCAACTGGAAGCCATACAAATGGTTGATGGATGAGAAATGAGACAAGGGAATGTGGCCACATCTACCCAGGGAATCGAGCCATTCTGTGGATCTCTTTGTCTCTGTGCACTTGAATCAAGTCTGCCGGCTTGCTGGCGTGGTTGATCTCTTTTGGTGGGTCAGGCTGATGGAAAAGTGTCTGATGGGCTCTTTTCCCAGCTGATACTTTTGATAGTATAGAGACATCTCAGGAGGTGACAAATGGAAAGAATTGAGAGTGACTCATACTGGAAAGATTGTGGTTAACTGTCACTTTATTTTTTACCTTTGGTCTTATGAAATGACTTTATGTTTAATGGCCTTGTCACGGGGGATTTAATATTGATGGTGTTGGTCAATTTTTATTTCAGATTGAGACAGATTTGGGAGGTGATCGTGAAGGGCAGGGGCAGAAAAAAGGGGAGCAAACCTCTCTTAATTATTTTTTATTGTGAGGTTTCCCAGAATTAGTGGGTTTTTCCACATTAGTGAAAGCGGTCTTCGATGTCAGTGTGATGATGTTTGTAAAGATGAAGTCATGGAAAGCGTGTCAGGTGCACAAGGAAATGCATGGCCCGTGTTCTCTGTACCAGCCACTTGGGGGGGGTGTGTGCAGACGGTGGGAGGGGGGTGTTGAAAACCTGGAGGGGGGAAACAGGAGGGTCTTATTAATTAGAAAATAAACTCGAACTATCTGCTGATCTTAAAAAAAGTTTTCAGCATATTACATTCCAGAACCTACTATTGATAGTTTCTAGACCTTTCCCCCAAAATTGTAGTTCATGTCTTAAAAACTCTTTTTCTGTTTGGTTATTTTTGTTGGTCTTTCCATTGGGTCCTGTATGTAGCTGTAATTAGAAAATAATCAGCAGCCAATTTTTTTTTGTTAGCGCTTGGATACACTTCCAACTGGTTGGTTCAAGAGCATGCTCTCAGATTCTACAGCATGTGGCAAAGAGTAAAAGGCTTTGGGGGCAGCACAGTTGGGGTCAAAGCTGGCCCCTGACATTTACCAGATGCAGGGTAGGTACTGGCAGTTTACTGCTCAAAGCTGGTATTCCTCACTTCCAAGGTGAGGCTAGTAACAGTGCCTATAGAAAAGGGGTGCCATATGGACTAGAGAGCATGCGTGTTAGGAGGGTCCTGGCACACAGGAAACACTTGGGAAACTTTGCCCCTGGTTTTGTTGATACACAAAATGGGTGTCAACAAAACTGATGGGCCTCCTTAAGGGGCACCATCGGTTTTAAGAAATTATTTTCTACAGGGCTCCTTTGCCCTCTGACTAGAAACATTAGTGCCCCTTAAGGAGTGACTGTCATCCACTAATGTCTCTGGCTGCTTTACCTGTGTCTCAAGCCATTTTTGATCAGCAAAAATGTCTCCCTTCTTCTGAACCGAGGAGGTGATGTCATGCTTTTCTCTGTCAGCGGTGGTTTATATTGGTTTGTTCCTTCTTCCTTCCTTTAGCCTGCAAAATCGGATATTACAAAGCCCTCTCCACGGATGCCACCTGTGCCAAGTGTCCACCCCACAGCTACTCTGTCTGGGAAGGAGCCACATCGTGCACCTGTGACCGAGGCTTTTTCAGAGCTGACAACGATGCCGCCTCAATGCCCTGCACCCGTAAGTTGTGTGCTCGTCACTCCTTTCTACAACGCCAACAGCTCTCATTACCACCTAGTGAGGCACTGCCAGGCCTTTTCTCCAGATAACTGTGCAGGGGGCATCTGACATCAAACAAGCAGCCTTTCTCAATCATAGCAGAGAAAATGATTATGAAAAGAAAAGATCTTTCTCACTGTTCGGTTGCCTTCAAAATGCACAGCTGCCAACAGACTACTTTGTGGAACAGAGACTGAGCGCTCAGGGGTTGTCTGACAGTGTAATTGGAGCTGAGACTGGAATTTATAAATGGCTTTACTGTTTCATTGAGGACTCAGGGAAACTTTGCAGCACTGAGGGACCAGGCACAGGGCAGTGTTCTGAGGACGGGATCATGTGTGGATGAAAGATTTCAGTTCTGTGTGACACTGATGTCATAGTGTGTGTTGTCATTCCTCTCCTTCCTTCTTTCCTCATAGTTTTGTATTCATAACAGTTAAGGCTTGGGTCCTAACAAGTGCTTGTTTAATGCTTGTTAAAATGCTGGGTTAATGAATGGATGGGATTGGCACCTCAGTGTGCTGGGGAGTAGAGAACTCTTGTCTCACACTTTATATGGACAGTGTTCCCAGGTATTGGCATTCCTTTCATGTACACTCTGGACTTCACAAAGTCTGCAATGGCAGTGACCTTGACCAGAACAGAGAAAGGTGTGCCCAGGTGTTCCACCCGTGTGTTTTCCCTAGGCGAGTCTGGGTGTGGAAGGACAGAGCCCAGTGGCCAGGCCCACAGGCTTCCCACAGGTGTTGACTTTGTTTCCAAGTCTGCCATTTAGTAGCTGAGTGACTGACTGGTTAGTCTCTTAAGTCTCGGGGCCCTCATCTGTGGAATGGAGTCGATCATAAATACTGCCTTCCTCGCGGTTGCTGCTACTCAACACCCTCATGTTGTTTATTAGTTAAGTAAAATACATAAAATGATGTCATTTCATATAATTTAGCCTTCCCTGTCTATGAATTATTTTATTTTTTTACTACTATAAATTTTTATTTTTGACAGCTGTAGTCAGCTCACTCAAATAAAAGTACTTTCTGGATGGGAGGTGGTAGGGTCAGCTGTCCAGCCATTGTCCAGCCCAGTCAGGCTCTTCCTTTTAAAGGTAAAGAAAGTGATTTCAGGCCCACCCCAGATCTGTTCCGAAACTGCCATACTCAGGAGTTTCTTTCATAACCAGAGAAAATAACAGCAATAACAACAACAACCTAAGTAATGCCTAAGTAAGGTGCTAGGCACTTTCTTTTTCTTTTTTAAAAATATTTTTTAAAGATTTTATTTATTTATTTTCAGAGAGAGGGGAGGGGAGAGAAAAAGAGAGGGAAACGTCAATGTGTGGTTGCTTTTGACATGCCCCCTACTGCAGGCCTGGCGTGCAGGACTGGGAATCAAACCATAAACCCTTCGCTTCACAGGCCAGCACTCAGTCCACTGAGCCACACCAGCCAGGGACTAGGCACTTTCAGTAAACATTATCACAGGATTCATAATAAATCTATAAGCTAGCTTATTCATAATAAATCTCTTCATTTTTTGGAGAAAGTAACTGCCAGCTCAGGGACGTTAAAGAACATGCCTAAAACTCTACCCCAGCTCGGCGGTAGGACTGGACAACGAGAAGACTCCTGTCTCTCTCTCTTACTGGGGGGTTCCCTTACCAGCTACCTGAGGTCAAGCTCGAATGTCCACAGGGAGGGAATGCATTGGGCACAAAGATATTTTTCCGTCTTCTTCTTCTGGTCCTACCATAGACTAAGGACTTTCCCTGGATGAGCATGTACATTTGACATGCTCAAGTCTTAGACTTCTGTTTGTTTCAATCTAAGTATTCTTACCTTATGTTTCTTTGTGCATGTTTGGTTTAATATTGACTCATACCCTGTACCAGGAGTCTTCCAGTTGTGGAATTTGAGGGCACTAGAGCTAACTCGGAGGGACATATTGTGGGCTGATGGTGTGATAATTGCCCTTATTTGCATCGAGCGCCTCCCACACAGATGTGCTTTGTCTAGGTTGGAGCTTGATTATTAGGAACTTCACAAAATTCATCTTTGATGGCAAGACAGCCTGGCTCTTTCTCCCAGGTGTTGTTAGTCGCACGAGAGTGATCCATTGTCTAGCATTCTAGGGGACCGTGGACCAATTGCTTCATTACTGTAGCTTGCTATGTGGAAGTTCGGGGAGACCCCAAATATTGCCATATGCCTGAGTTACTGGAATGTTTGCCTAAAGTGTAAGTGTGGTAGCTGAGCCCTTGGAGTTTTATGTTTCTGTAGGAATAAACCCTTAGCTTTATCCTGAAGATGCAGGTGAAAGAAAGCAAATGTAGTTTTTTAGCATAGGAGTGAACCAAAAAGTTTCAAAACTGAAGTAACTCTTACATTTTTTCAGAGATTGTTTTCAGTAAAGTGAGAGAGGAAGACTGGTGGGTTTTGGTGCCATTGATAAAAGGTCCATAAAAATGCCAAAGCAGCATGTGATCCTCTTCTGCTGGTCCATTCCCTTGTGCCCTCCCCTACCCTTCACTCATGCAAACTCTTCACATGATTGTAATGCTCAGTGCATCTGCCTGAGCCACGTTAAGATGAAACACACTGTTCATCTTACCACCACCAACTCCTGAGTTTGTTCAACCTCTCCAAGCCCCAGCTCACTCCTCTGTAAAATGGGATTCTTACTCTCTACTTGTGAGATGGTTTTTAAAAATTAAACAAGAAAATATTTGAAATTACCTGGCATCTGATAAGGATCTAAAAAAAATGTTTGTCCTCTTCTTTCATCCTAGCTGGTCATGCTCTCCCTGAACCTCCTCCACAGCTGATCGCCAATGCCCGTCTCTGCCTCTGGGTGATTTTCTCACTGCCTGAACAATTAAATTACCCAGAGGCTGCCCTGCACTCCAGAACGCTGGAGGCAGGACCCAGGCATCAACATTCTCAAAAGTCGCCCCCATCCTTCCAGATACAGATGAGGTTGAAACCACTTCTCTACTAAGTTAAATTTTAAGATTTTTTAAATGTAAATTTAAGGAGCATTAACTGCATCAGACTCTTAAGACCTCCTCTGAGATACAGATAAACTGGGAGGTGACCATATTTTGCTAACAGGTGTGTATACTAGTAATTTAAGCAGCAGAATTAAAATCTATTCTCTTCCTGATGAATACAGTGGACCTGCACTGTCCCTAGGTACACATGGCTACTGAAATTTAAAGTTATTAGCATTCACTTTAAAATTCAGTTTTTAATTGATGTTACCCACACTTCAAGAGCTCCATAGCCATATGTGGCCAGTGGCCACCATACTGGATAGGACTGATAGGATGTTTCTATCAGCTCAGAAAGTTCTGTGGGACAGCAAGTGCTGCCACAGACATTTCAATTCAGAAGACAGTGGGGGTTTCTCAAACAGTTTCTTATTCAACCACTGGATAAAGCACCCCTCCCCCTGTCTCCAGCTTTATCAGATTCTCTTGGCTTTATCAGATTCTCTTGACAAGATGTGGGGATGGGAAGGAACGTAAACATCAGGGATCCTTTCAAACTGATTCCAGCCTCTAATCAGTTCTTACCAGTTGGTTAAGCCAGGTGACAAATCCAATTCCCTCGTGCTGACAGCCATGGTAATCAGGCACCTTCTTTGTTCATTATGCTGCCTTTAACCCCAGCATTCTCATGCAGCCCTGCATTTAGTGATCACTCACTGTGACGGCACACTAATGAAGAAATAAAACACACTGGCTGAGACTCATTCTTCTAGCCAAAGAGGGACTCTGCTCCACTGGCTTGTAAAATCAGGTTTTTGTTCTCTTAGAGAACAACTAGACCAGGTGAATACAAGCAGCATTGGCTAGTTTAGAAGGAAACACCTAAGAAGTTCTTCACACTATCTATATTGCTAGAGAAATTGAGAGAATTTAATGGAAAATAAATCTTAACTTTGGGAAGAACTTTGACCGAACCCCTAGTTAGGTTAACATCAGTGTCTACCTGTGAGGTAGATGATGTTTCAATGGAGGCACCATCTGAATGTCTTCAAGAACATAATCCATACTTGTTGGAATACAGAGTTGGAGCAATGCCTCTTAAACTATAACTGTGCGTGGAAAGCACCTCGAGATCGGTAGAAGTCAGACCTGACATTCTGCCTTTCTGACAAGTTCCCAGGTGCTGCTGATGCTGTTGGTCTGTGGACCACTTTTCCATAGCAAAGAGTTAGATCCTCTGGGATGGGTGGCAGGAGTCCGAAGACCCTCTCGTCCATGCTTGTAAATTACTGGGATCCTCTTCCACTCAGTGGCAACTCTAGGAAGGTATTTCCAGGCTTCTGAATGTTTTCAAGCTTCTTTAATGGAAATTGAATACTTCATTTGTCTTCCAAGTGAAGAAAATCCATCTGGTTTGGAGGTACAAACCCAGTGCCCTCACTGAAGAGCTTTGTTTGCATTTTCTCCTTCCTGAGTACCCACCCACCCAGTGACTGCCAGTGAGTAGGTATAAAAATAGTCTCGTGGACCAGTCAGGAAAGGTGACGGGATCTTTGGTGACATTGACAGCAAGGCAGACAACCAGATCTCGATATACATAAGAGTGCCATTTAAGTTGATGAAGGGATTTTGATTACATAAATCATGTTTTAGGAGAAATTTCAATATGGTTTTAATTAATGAAGGTAATCTCTCCTAACTCTGCAGATAACCAGCCCCGAGGAGTTAAGGTGACTGAGTTCCGATCTCACGCACCTTCCCTTTCCCCTTTGTCCTGTCATCAGGAATGTGAAGGCTGTGAAGTCAACTGCATGCCTGCGCAGAAGGACTCTGAGTGCCTTTGTCATCTAGTCACTTGTTCAGTCATTACAGTGGGAAAGGTCCTCTTTCCCTGCACTGGGAGACTGACCCAATATTGCATTTAAGGTGACTTTTCAACCCTTTCTTGTGTTTCAAAACGCAGTAGGAAAAAATGCCTTAT